AAAAAAAAAACAAATTTGTAAGTGCTATGGACTGCTTCTGCTTAATTTGAAAAAGGAAAAAAAATCCTACAAATTCATAATCGAGGGATAAAAAAGGTAATTATCTGGTGTTCATGCAAGCTAACCATTTTGGCATAATAATGCCAACACTATAAATCCATTATCAATTCAGCCAAGAAACATTAGTGATCAGTTCACTCCCTGGCTTCTCCAGCCTGCACATCAAATATCCTTGGGCAAGATACTAAACATTTGCCCCTACTGCATCCCTCAGTGTTTGTGCAATTGTGTGACAAGGCTCCAGTATAGAAAAATGCGCTTGTTTGAATGAGGCTTGCAGTAAAAAGCACCTGAGTACTCAGTTGTAAAGTGCTTTAAAAGTACACATACCTTTACACCACATACAGCTTTTACAAAACAGTGCACACTTCTCCACTAATGCTTCACTTGAGACTTTGGTGATTCAATGTAATGCACTACCTGTCTGTTCAAACAAAATGGTACTGATCTTTCTGTTTAACCTTTAGCAAGAACCCATTGACATCCAACAGACCTGCAGGTTTACTGCATGGGCCGCATTATCATTAATAGTCGTAGAATAATTATAGGCTGCCAGTTATTTGTGACTATCAGACATGCTAAAGGCAGGGTGACAGGTTTTTACAAAGTAATGATGTAATGGACCTACATGTCATGTGGATGTCCTGCTGTACTCTATAGTAAACAGTACTCTATAGAGGTTACAGGCTTGCTTACATTGCACAGTGTTCAGATAAGGCTCAGTTTTCTTAAATTACAAGTTCATGTGTCATTAAGTGATAAGGCTGCCAGCATGTGGAAGGGTTGTGGTGCCAAGTGAGGCACTAGTGCAACGATGTGACCTAAATCTATATTTAACACTGCACATAAAAACATTTTTTTTGTACCGAAATGTTCACAGCAGCAGTTGATCAAACCTAAAAATTAGAGAAACATCGAAACATTCAGGGTTTCTTTTTCTCCGTCTGGACGCCTATGATGTCATTGTGTTTCTGTGCATTTGCACTGAGCTGTAAGCAAATCTTAACACTGGAGGTCCACGTCCCGCATACCGCTGTTTAATGAGATGAGACAGATAGCTCATCACTCTCAAATCACATTCGCTCACACCTCGTTCACACCAGGAATCCTCTTCTGTGTTACCCTTCTCTTTAGCAACGCATAGATTTTTAAAAAGAGGTATAAAAGTGTGCACCAGTACGTGATTGACCAGCGCAGCAAGGCAGCTCTCCAGATGCTGCAGGTAGGTGATGCCCCGGGTGATACCAGTGTGAGGATTGGCCAGTCTGCTGAGAAGAGAACCAGAGTAAGACGGGCACCGCAGCGTCCTCTGGTCGAGGTCCAGCAGAGCCACATAACGACTGTAGCGACTCAGAGAAGGAAGGATGGTGGAAAAAGAAGCTGAGGATGATCTGGTGCAAGAAACCATGACATGGATGTGACATTAATAAATTTCATTTATGACCTGAAGCTGAAGAAGAAAAAAAGAAATAAGCTGTAGCCTTCTACACATGTCAGTTTACTGTCATTTCGGATCAACTTGAAGCTACCTAGACCCATAAACTTAGCAAGTAAACAATGAAAAGCATAAACCTCAGCTGCTCAGTTTGTAAAGGTGGTGACAGAACTTAATGTTTCCAGGTCTGACCAATAACTGCAGTCATTCGCCTTAAATGGCCACCTGATTAAAACCGTTTATATACAGTTAAAGCACCCAACTTGACAGCAGACAAACATGTTTACAGTCTGGGACAAAAACATTTTGGCTAATGTCCCCTCCTCGCTCATTACAACTGTAGGGAGGGTCATACTTTTTAAATTTCTCTATAAGATCTCCAGTTAAACTGTATTGGTTTAAAGTCATGCATTATTAATGGTTTGGCCAATTTGAGGGCTAGTGGATATAAGCCATAGCTGCCTGCTAGCTCTAACCTTAGCTCAATGAACTGGAAATCTCATTGGTATGAGGTTGATGACTTTTAATTACCTTAATGAAGTTATGAAACAAAAAAAAGCAGGACTTGTAATGTATTTTAACAAGTCTGTACTCTGGTTTTGGCGAGTGAAATCTTAGTATTATTTTATTTATACGTTAGCAGGTATCTGGTTAGTGCTGACCAGTAACCTAGCATTAGCCACTAGCCACCCTGTTACCGAAATATTTACTGCCAACTCAAAAATAAATACATAAAAATAAACAAACAAAACAGCAGGATGGCAGATAGCCCTCACCTGTGCACTCCCATCAATCTCCAGGTGAGCAGGTCAGTCAGCTGAAGGGGCGTGGTCAAACACATCTTCACAGCACTTCTATGAGGACCAGGAGCAGGCAGGAAGAGGGTCAGAGCATCCACCGTCTTCCTGACTAGGTTCTCATCTCCTCCGATGACAACCAGTGGCCGGCCACTCAGGAGACAGAACACTGCATGCTGGGAGAACGAGTTGTGCTTGATAAACCTGAGGGCTCTGAGTCCAGCCTTTCTCCTCCTCCTCTTATCCCAGCAGATGTTGCTGTGGATATTTTGAATGGGAGATGGGGGCTCTGAAGATTCAGTGAAACTGATGCTGCTGAGTGTTGACTCCTCATCAACACTCAGCAGCCTCAGGGGAGGGCGGGGGGAAGACCAGCGATCCACCTCGGCCATGTAGGAACCAGGTGCAAAGTTTGCATTGTCCTGGGGCATCAGCCGCACCTTCTGGTGAACCTCAGGTGAGGGCCTCATCGCTTCATCAGCTGTGGAGTAATAACAATATTTTATATGTTTTTAAAAAACTACAGTAATCAGCTACTTTCCCTAGCAATTAAGCGCTTTATTAAATGATCAGCCGTTATAATTTTAAATTATGTCAGAAGAAAAACAAACAAACAAACAAACTGTAAATTTGCACTAAGCCACGATTACAAATGCATATTTTCCACATTTTTAAAATAGCTTCTCATTAATTTCTGTGTTGCTGCAGATTTTATTTAAATCGGATAAAAACCATACCGACAAAGTGAATATATGTTTTTCATAGTTTTATAGCATGGATGTAATAACGAGAGCTTGAGAAATGAATAGTTGCACAACGTGTTACCTTGCAGTAGTTTGGAGGTCTTCTCTTCACTATTGTCTTTGCGAAACTGATTCATCTTTATGGCGCCTGGCTGCTCTTTGATCATGATGTCATCAGCAACCATTGTTTGCTCCAAAGGCTCTTCACTTTCAACGCAACACTGATCTTCCTCATCAGGCCCATCATTTTCATCCTCGCCTACTGCAGCAGGTGCATTCAGTGTCTCTTCCTCTTGGAGGACTTTGTAAGACTTATCCACCATCTGTGGTTCTTCTTCATTCTCAAAGCCGTTGCTCAGAGGCTGCAGCTCTGCTTCCTCCTCTGTGATGGCGGTGAGGTCTTCGGTAAGGATGGATTCTGTGGTGCTGAGCACTTCAATGCTGTCCTCGCTGTTGGCACGCTTTGCATAAGCTCGCAGGTGTCTGATGCCAGTGTCTACTGCTGCACGCCTGCTGCAACTCTCTGTCATTCCGACTGGTGTGTCTGTGGAAGAGAAAGCTCTTTGTTTCATTTTTTATTTTAAAATAAGCATTTAATCTCACTAGATATGTAATGAAAAGCCGAAAGACTTTTTCATTGATATTTCTTTAAACCATCATTTGTTGCTTAAATCCCAGACATCCACACAGGAGCAGAGGATCAAATGTTCAAACTGAGTCCCTGTGGTATTTAATTAATATAAGACAAAATCAAACATGTCAGAGTTTATTGAAAGCCACCCAGTGGACCCGATTAGACCTTTGGGTGGGCCGGTTCTGATATATTTGGCACTCTTGATCAACAACCAGACACTATTTGTTATTTTTGTTCTTATATGAATTGACTAACAAAAATACCCAATCCGCCAAACATTTATTTGAGAAATGTTTCCGCACTGCCGTACCTCTGCTGTCGGCGACATGCTGCGTCATATACGACTTCTCAGTTCCGAGCACTTCGATGCTGTCACTGCTGCTTACACTCCCCGTCATCTCTGTGCCAGGACCAGGCCCAGGGGTCAGTGTATGTGCTTCTGCTGCCTCCAGTTTGATTGGGATCTCCTCCACACAGGAGAAGAACGACTCCATGCTTGGTGGTTCTGGCTGAAACGCCCCGCCAGTCCTCTTACTCCCCGTGTCCTTCAGC